GGTTAAGGTTAGAATAAGGGTTAGGGTAAGGGTTATGGTTAGGGTAAGGGTTAGGGTTAGAGTAAGGGTTAGGGTTGGGGTTAGAATCATAGTAAGAGTTAGGTTTAGAGTAAGGGTTAAGGTTAGAATAAGGGTTAGGGTAAGGGTTATGGTTAGGGTAAGGGTTAGGGTTAGAGTAAGGGTTAGGGTTGGGGTTAGAATCATAGTAAGAGTTAGGTTTAGAGTAGGTTAAGGTTAGAATAAGGGTTATGGTTAGGGTAAGAGTTAGGTTTAGAGTAAGGGTTAGGGTTGGGGGTTAGAGTCATAGTAAGAGTTAGGTTAAGGTTAGAGTAAGGGTTAGGGTTAGAGTAAGGGTTGGGGTTAGAATAAGGGTAAGGGTTAGGGTTAGAGTAAGGGTTGGGGTTAGGGTAGAGTTATAGTAAGGGTTAGAGGTTAGGTTTAGGCTTAGAAATAAAGATACAATGTATTTGTGCATTTTGCTACTGGTTGTTATCTTCTTCCTTCCTTCCACTGTTCCCAGCCCCGGAGCCTTTTCCAGAGAGCTGGCATTTCCCATTCTGTGGCCAACGTTAGGGTTAGGGTTAGGGAGCCGCCCGAGCTCCTTATCTGTATTTGAGCTCTTTGGCGTTTCCGCACACGGAGCACACGGTGCCTGCGCGATGCTCCACTGAGCAGCTGGAACGTCGCGGAGGTAAGGACGCATGTGCGTGCGTGCATGTGGGGGACGCCAGGCCCCATTGCACCCTACCGGTTGCAATGGGATCCGGAACCCACCACTGGTATGCCGGATCTTTTCATGGATGACTAGAATGCTTTGCTGTTCATTTTATCTTTCTCCCTGTGTGCCTTCCAGGTACGGCCAAAACACCCTCATTCAGTTCGAAGACTTTGGCAACCATAATGCCTTCCGCTTTTTGAGGAAGTACCGAGAAAAATATTGCACTTTCAATGATGACATACAGGGTGAGCGATCAACCCCGATGCTATTAGCATATTTCCCATGTGCCCCTTTGGGCTCTGTTTTTCTTGCTTCTACGTGGATCTTTTTCGACCGTGAGAAATTGTGTGTCCTCTCTTAGGGACCGCGGCAGTTGCCTTGGCTGGATTATTGGCAGCACAGAAAGTCATTGCAAAACCCCTCACCGAGCACCGAATCCTCTTCCTTGGAGCAGGAGAAGTGAGTTGTGCGGTTGTTGGAATTAAAACTGCGGCAGTAAATTTGGGCCCTCGTGGTTTGCATTTAGTTGTCAAATATGAACAGTTGTTGAGCCAATCAGAGCATTCTATACTGAAGATAGCAATAGCAGTTAGACTTATATACCACTTCATAGGGCTTTCAGCCCTCTCTAAGCGGTTTACAGAGTCAGCACATTGCCCCCACAGTCTGGGTCCTCATTTTACCCCCCTCGGAAGGATGGAAGGCTGAGTCAACCTTTGAGCCG